GCAAACAGCTGCACCAAACAATCCCACCCCCACCCATTCCTTAAAGTAGGAGACAGCTGATGCAATCCATGATGACAGTCCCTCCGTCAAGGACAGGTCGAGGCGCGTGGAGTTAATCTGGATAATAGCAGCTCTCAATTCCCGAAGCGTTTGCTCAAAATCGGAGGTCCAATTCTGCAACATGAACTGAGAAAGGCTTTTAGACAAATTAGCTGCTTTGGTAAAATTCTCATATTGAATGGAGGTGACACATAGGCCGGGGAGCTTCTGCTCGCAGCCTAGTTGGGCCATCTGCCATAAAATATCCAATTGTTTCTGTACGAGGTCAATACGCTGGTTTACCAGCATCAGGCCTCCCTGTATCTGAGTGTTTGCAGAGGCCTGTCTGTCCAAAGCCTTAGAAACAGTGGCTGACAACCCATTAATAGTCTGTGCAGTTTGTACGGAGCTGGACAGTGCAAGGGCAGAGGCTGTAACCGATGCAGCGACCGCGGTGGTAGCCACAATGGCAACAATGATTGCAGAGATCCCAAAATCTCTTTTTTCTCTAAAAAGGGTCATACTGCTAGGTGTTTCCACCGGGACGGGTACAAAGCATGGCATGTGGGTTACTACAGCTAAAGGGAATTTATCAGCATCCCAGCACAGGGTATAATAACAGCCCCCGGACTTGCAATCTAGACCGAGCTCAGTATTGTTAATATTAATATTGCTCACAATCCAAATAAAAGGAGGCCAGACACATACTGGTGTGGCATCATAGTCTATATGTTTGAAGGATTGATACTTTATATCAGAGGCAGTCCAACTAAATGACCCAGAGCTTTGGCCTGACTGGAGGCTGCTCCCCAAAGACCCTTTCCAATCAAACTCCAACCGTCCTTTCTCACTTTTGCCTCCTTTTAACATTGCCATAGGCGTAAGATCAGTGCAGCTTCCATTAATGCCACAGAGCAGCCATTGGTCAAAAGGGTTAAGGTTGGAACACATGGGGTCTAAGGATGTGAAATTAGTTCCCATGCCCATATTGGGAGAAAAAGGGAACAAACCCTCAACGGCCCAGCCAGAGCCCCTGGACTGGCATCCAGTCCATGGTAAAATCAATTCTTCAGTTTGCTCCCCTCTACAGAAGGGGGCTAATTTTGGCTGTCGAGGAGGAGCAATAGAGGTGTTTACAACTGGAAAACGTGGCCACCACCCATAAATTACAGAGGCATTAGTCACAACCTTACCTCCATCTCCCCAGGCGGCCTCATGCCAGAGTGCTTTCCACTCCATGTATTGGCCCATGTTGACATGCGCAGCTTTTGCGACCATCTGCCAGTCAGATGGCATCAAGGCATTTAGGGCAAGTCTATCCAATTGTGCAAGAGTAAAGTTGGCTGTGACTCCATATTTCCTGACTGATTCTGCCAATTCTTTTATCTGATTATACTCCACGGGTGCATGCATACGCTCTCCCTCAATGCCCTCAAAGACGGAAAAAGCGAGGCGCAGCTTTCTTTTTACCTTTTCTGGAAGAAAGGAATAAGACTTCGGGCGCGTCTCATAGGGAGGGGGCGCCGAAGGAACAACCTGCGAGACGGATGCTTGAAGCTGCCGCCTTCGAGGTTCTTTGCTATTCTGCCTATGCTCATCCGGGTGGTATCTTTCTTCCTCATACCTGGCAGCTTCCTCCTCTAATTCGGCCTCTTCATCAGTATCTAAGACCTCCTCCTCTGAACTTTCAGAATTATCAGAGCTATCAAGATTTAAGGCTTCTAGCTCATGTACAGGGTATAAGCCAGCTCCTCCCTTTGATTTAACAGCAGGGGGAGAATCCCTAGGATCTGACAAATACACCCCCTTGTCGTTAGACTCACTGGGGGGGGGCTTTTTCCTTCTTGGGGACGGTTTTTTTTCTTGCGCGCGCCCAACCTCTCACTACGCTCGGTTTCTGACATGCTATCCTGGACCTCTTCAAGGGTGCTCTGCCCTTCCACCACGGCAGCCCTACAGGCTTCATCTTTGAGGCAGTTCTTAACAAACTTCCAAGCGAGAAAGATCAAGATGGCTCCGAGGACAACCACAAAAGCCTCGACACTACCTTCCCAAGGTGGCGACAATCTCAAGCCAAAGTCCAGAAAAGACATACCTCTCCGAACATACCTGCCTGCAGTTCTGAATCCTCCTTGTAGCCAAGGGGTCTCCGACGGTGCTGACGATGATGAGGTCTCGATTTCCCGGGTTTCGGCACCAGTTGTCCCAAGCTACCGTCTCGCCAGCAAGAACGACGCAGTAAAGCTTTAATGCATCTTGAGAGGGAGAGCATAAGCTTACAGAGCGGAGACCCCGAACTCCCAAAACCCCATCCCTTATATAGGCTGGCAACCGCCGCCTCGGACGCGTCACCCCCTGACTGGCTGCAGCTCATCGGACCATATGACGCCACGGGAGAGGCAGAGACCAAGGGATGGAAAGTTACCCAGCGCCTGCACACTAACTTGTTTACCAGGCGCCATCTTGTAATGGAGAATGCAGGGACGGCTCCCTACAGGAAGAAAGACGAACATGCCGTGTATAGCTCGGGTTCTAATAGGTCTTAATAATAAAAACCTGGAGTCAGATATATATTTGGGTAAATGCTGAAAGACCAGAGAAGTAAAGGAGGCACCCTAAGAGCGACCTCTTACCTCTACTGAATCCTCAGACCAAAGGGGCCATCCTGTCCCCATGAATCCTTAGACTGAATGCCATGAGCTCCTGTCTCCCTACACCTTACATTCCTCTCTCTGCTGAGTCATATCACTCTTGTCTCTACCTCTCTGGTGCTGGGATTAAAGGTGTGAGTCATCACTCTCTGGCTCTGTTTCTTGTTTAGACTGGATTAATGTTGTATAGTCCAAGGTGGCCTTGGACTCACAGAGATCTACCTGCCTCTGCCTCCCCAGTGCTGGGATTAAAGGTGTGAGCCATCACTGCCTGGCATCTATAGCTAACTAGTGTGGCTAGCTCCTCACTCTGATCTTCAGGCAAGCTTTATTGTTAGATCACAAACAAAATATCACCAGAGCCATGTTAAAAGATGGTAGTTCCACATGGAAAAAGGTAGATAAGAAATATGGGTTAATTTAAAATGTAAGATTTAGCTATTAACTAGCCTGAGCTATCAGTCAAGCACTTATAACTAATATTAAGCTCCCTTGTGGTTATTTGGGAGCAACTACCAGGACACAAAAAAAGTCTGGCTACAAAATCTCATACTCTTATGCAAATTTACCAAGTTATGCTGGTGAGAGGTAAATTTGATTGCAAAGAAATCATTTGACAGCAAAGCTTTCCAATGATAAGAGAGCTACTTAGTGTCTAAAAAACCCTCAGTGAACTGTCCTGTACGTCCTCAGAAATGCATACCTCACAGAGATGTGTTTACAGCAGGATGTGTTTACAGTAATGTCCCCTGGCTTCCCTGGAAGTCCCAGTCACACATCATCTTTACTTAAATGGAGGGCTCTTCTCTACCAAACTATAGAGCCTGGATAATAGTCTCATTTCTCACCTGCCCCCTGGTGTTTGAGAGGGAACTGCAAGAATCATCTCTGATCATGTTCTGTTGGTTTAAAACAGCAATGAAAGGACTGGGTGCCTGTTTTCCCAGGTGTAACTGTACACCCCAGTTTCCAAGGTAGAAGGACTGTGCTGGGTTTCAGGCCATGCTGGCTGTGAAGTGGATTTTAGGACAATCAATATAATATAGTGTGACCCTTTTTCAAAATAAATATGTAATATAGAGCATGCCCTTCTGCCTGGATTCTTGTTACTGTGCCCACTGGAGTGGGTACAGGAGGAGGGAGCCCAGTCTGGAGTGGGAGGAACTTGCATTCTAACCTACAGTAGCTTTTCAGCTGCAACACCCAGACATGTTGGACAGCAACTGTACAAGAATTACACAGGGAGGGAGTGGCTCTCTCTTCCAGTAAGGGAGAAGAAAATTTTCAACATCCCCAACTGAATATGTGTGCCCTGCAAATATCACAGTGTACACTGTGTGCTTGTGGCAAATATGAAGCTTCCTCATGCTAAAAAAGTGAGAAACAGAGGAGCCATCCCCCCCACCTCCCTCACATGATTATAAAGAAATGGGGATTATTAAGTACAGTTTTCTGGCCAAAGAGAAACCTGTGTGAGGCAGAGGGATATGGATTGTGTCCACTGAGCTGCTCCTCAGTTCTCTGGAACATGGCATATCCCCAGGCATCCGTGTGGTCCTTCTTATCCTGATACTGCAGACAGAGCCAGGAGCTCACAAGATGGACAGAGAGACAATGGGCCAGGACAGGGTGAGAGGGCACTCACTGTGTAGTTGCTACTTCATAATTGTAATTTTACTACTGTTGTGAATCATACTACAAATATATATGTGGGATATAGGGTATGTCATCCATGTTTTGAAAGAATCATTTGTTCCTCCAAAGAGGTCGCTACTGACAGGTTGAGAACCACTGAGCTAGCTCCTGGGCCTGAGTTTGTGCTGCTATGGGATGCATTGTGTTTCCCCACTGGAAGCAGTTGTGGGGCTCACCAGTAGGAATTTGTGCAAGTATAGGGAACTATGGGGGCAGTGCAAGGTAATGTCAGAGGAGACCTGCACTGACCAGGCAGAGGTGAGGATAACCTGTACTTATCAGGCTGAAAAGGTCAATTCATCTGTTTTTTTTTCTCTCCTCTCTGGACTCTGAAGTCATTTTGAATATCTGTAAGCCTTACCCCAAACCTTGCCCCAAATCATGGTGACTTCCTTGTCACAGACCCAGCATGGAGGAAGGAGTGGGGAGCAGGAAGCAGAAGGCTGCACTGGAGATTCTGGATCTCTAAGCAGGTGTGTGCAGAGGATCCCACAGATGGAGAAACCACAGATGTAGAAGGGCATGGGCCCTTGAAATTTATATCCAGAGATGGATGCCTGCAAATGCCCACCCCATGAATTGCTATATATCCCATGGTATTTTGTATGTTGTCTATTGAAGGCAGGGTTTAAATGAGTCCACCCAACCCAAGACAAATGATAAACAGGTGTTTATTAGGGAAGCACTTACACAGATAATAGTAAATAGCCACCGTTCTCTTCCTATTCCAGAAAATGCAGTCTCTGCTCTTCTGATCCTCTCACTGCAACCCGAGAGAGGGAGCTAGCCCCGCTTCTACCTTAGAAGAGGTCAGGTTTGCACACCTGAAGCCACACCCATAGGAAGCAGCCACCACTGCATGTTCAATGGAAAAACAAGATGCCACTACAGTGTGGCTTTTCATTTGTCTTCTTTTCATGTTATTTAACTCTTGGAATTTTAATTTCCCCTTTAACTTCTTTAGTGACACATTCATCATTCAAAAGTGTATTGATTAATCTCCATGAGACTGTGTGTATTCTATAGTTTTTCTTGCTGTGAGTAGGGAGTTTTATTCCATTGCAATAAAATAGGATAAATTATTTCAATTTTTCTATATTTGTTAAAACATGCTTTGTATCCTAATATATGACCTATTTTATAGAAAGTCTCAGGAGCTGCTTAAAAGAAAGTTTATTCTGTAGTGTTTGGATGGAATTCTATGTAGGTAGCTGCTAAGTCCATTCATTCTATGATACCATTTAAACATATTTCCCTGTTTACTTTTGTGCGGTTTCCTTAAGTGCCATCTTCTATTTATCACTCTTCCATTCTGTATGCACACTAGTGGCAAGCTCCCACTGATATCAAACTTAGAGACATTTATATCCACGTGACAGACATTTTCAGGCCCTGTTGTTTCCAATACTGGGATTCTCTGGGCTCTCAGAGCCTATGATGAAGCTGAGATACTGGGTCATGAACAGGAATTTCAGAGTCCAGGTAAACTCTCTCTCTCTCTTTCTCTCTCTCTCTCTCTCTCTCTCTCTCTCTCTCTCTCTCTCTCTCTCTGTGTGTGTGTGTGTGTGTGTGTGTGTGTGTGCATATGTGAGTGTGTGTGTGTATGTCTGTCTGTCCCTCTCCAACCTAAGGAACGGCAGGATAATAGTAGGTCCTCCAAGTTCAAAACTACGGATGTAGTTTTTTTGTTACCTGGACATCCTGGTGTATCCTCTTAATCCTGGACTGTTGTGTGTTGTGTAGCATGCCTTGAGGGAAGGTCCCCATGTGCTCTGTCACCCTCTGCACCATCATTCAGAGGTCTTTTGTTGATGATGGTGAAGATTACAGAGAACATGTAGAATGAAAAAGACTCTGAAATCTGTGAGTATGGGCAGTTGTGAAAACTTTCATATGTAGGAGACAGACAGACAGAGAAAGAGAGAGGTCAAATTGGTCAGAAGTAGGCATTTGAGGGTGTCTCAATGTCTAGGATGAAGGATTCAATGCCTAACACACAGAAAATTCTTCATAGAAGAATACATCGTGAATACAATTTTCCACCTTCAGAAAATGATATAAAGTACAAAACAGGACATTTATTAGTCAGGCCAAAAAAATACAGTGACAACAATTAGGCAAGAATGAAAGTCATGCATATGGATTATCACTGAGAATGTTGTGTCACAGGGGACCAGAAAATTGAAAAAAAGCCAGGATGACCAATCCATCCAAAGACTGGTTCTCTGGGAGACAGGGAACAGGTATTTCCTCTACTGGACATGTCTGAACTTTCTGACATCCTCATCCCACTTGTATGACACACCCTACAGTCAAACATCTTCATGGATGTGCTGTCATCTTGCAAGGATGGGTCCAACAGAGTCAGCAGAATCCTTGGGGTTAAGAACAAACCTCAGCAGACATAGAGGAACCAGCCCTACTCTTCTGGGCACACAAACACACACACAGAGGCACACACAGGGTCACTGACACACACACACACACACACACACACACACACACACACACACACACACACACAAGAAAGAGATACACAGGGTGTTACTTATATGGCAGCAGGTAGTAAGTACTGTTGCAATAAGAGATACTAGGAAGGAAGGGAAGCAGCTTACAAGGCACCATGGGATTTGTCCTGAGCTATGCTTAAGAGGCAGGTGGGTACTAGGTCCTATGTTGCAACCTTAACTATTGGAACCTTACTGAAAGTAAGCAGATAATGAAGTAAGACTGTTGTTAGTTAAGGAGACACAACACAAGGTGAGGTACCAAGTGCCCAGAGAGGTACTGTGAACAAGTCACAAGCTGCAAATTCCAGGCAAACCCCGTAGGTGACCCAGGCCTCTACCAAGAAAGAAGGCTTCACTTCACCATGAGCTTCCCTTCACACATACAGCCACTCAAATACCAGAGTAAGCCATTACCCACCAGGGCTTTAATTCTTCTAGGTCAGTTCAGAAAGGGGCCATGCCTTGTCGCCATTCAAAAGAAAAGATCTGCAGGGCACCCTGGGAATGTCCAAGCCCAGAAAAGCCAAGGGGTAGTCCCTGAGAAAGTAGAGAAGTGGTCCGTGGGGCTCAGGCTACCTCCTTCTCCTCCTCTTCCTCCTTCTCCTCCCTCTCATGTCTGTGATTGGTGTTGACAAAGAGGTCAGATTAATCTTCAGAACCTGACAGCAGGTTCAGCAAGGAGTTCTGGCTGACTCTGTTCATATTGTTTTGTTTCTCAGCTACGTCAGAGAAGGCATCAGGCCAGTGCCCCTCCTTCTGCAGAGAATGGACATGGTTTTTGCAGAGCACAAAAGAAATCTCAGCCTTCACTTTTTCTCCCTCTTCAATAGGGTTAACAATAAGGAAGTCCCCCCTTTTGACCCAGATGTTCGTGAGGTATTTGGAGGGCATGTCACCAGGAAGTGCTGCCCTTGTGCTGTCTCTACCTCAGCAGATTGTTCCCGGGAGTCCTGAGGACCTTCGCTATCTGCTGTTGGTCCCAGGGCACCCTGTGCTCTCCCAGCATCTCCTGCACCGCATGCTTTCTCTTGGTGACCTGAGACATGCTAGATTCTGTCCAGGGTTGTTAGGATGCAGAGACTGTCAGCTCTTCTTCCAGAGTTATGTGAATGGCAATCTTAGAAGTCAGGAATGCTCTCAGGAGAAGCAGACTTGTAAGAGAAAGTGCCACCTTGCCCCGCTAGGCATTACCAAGCAAGCTACATTTTTCAGGTTGACGCTGAAAGCAGCTTGTCTAGGACTCACTTCAAGACTGAGTCAACAAAAGCAAAGACACGCAGACTTGGAGGTGGTCACGATAATGGTAGCCCCAGTTTGGATGCTTGGCCTCAGACCTCCGGTGTTCCATAGCGCATACTCTTTGTTGTTGTTGTTGTTGTTACATTTTAAATTTGAATTAGAAACAAGATTGTGAGTTCCCGCAGAGAGCGTGGCGAGCTAGGGACTGCGGCCTCCTTCCTCCGGGCCCCCCCACCGCCTCCGGCCTGCACCAGGTGAGCCGGGGGCCCAGGAGCAGCTTCGGTCTACGTCCCGTGGAACCCAGGAGCCCTAGACATCACAGCGGCGCCGGCCCGGCGGATCCGCGACCCGACAGCAACTCTTCCTCTGGCAACCAAGCACCACGATGGCAGCGCCCTCTGCGCAGGGCCTCCTCGACCACGCAGGACCCCTGCTCTCCAGGGCCGGACCATGCAGAAGTCCCAGCCAGGCCTTTGAGGACTCCACCTGGAGTCGTTGGGCGTGGCATGGCGGGAACAATGGTGGCCGCCCGAAGGCCAAGGTTGGCCCTTTGGGGCCTCTGCAGCCTGAGGCTGCGGATCTGTGTACAACACTTGGACATCACTGGGAGGGACCCGCCCAGTTGAGGAGCCCTTAGACCTGGATCATCAGAGGTCTCCATGGTCCTGGAGGAAGCATCGCGGCCAGAGGAACGATGGATCGTGGGGGCCCGGATCCTCCTTCCACCCCAAAGAAGCCGGGACGTGACAGCGCATGCGGCCAGTCGGAAACGCTGGCGAAGATGTACTTGCCACCTTAGAAGGCCTTGTATATAATATGGAAAAGCTGCTCTCAACCTTTCCCCCCGTCCCTTTTAGAGAGACCTTTGGCTAAATCTGGACATCTAGCTATAGAGATTGCCGATGCAGGGTAAAGTAGAGGTAGGACATCACATGTGTGTATCCAGTCATCTTTAAAAACACCTTAGACGTGTCTTCCAGAAGTGACTTTGCAATGGAATTGTATAAGCCACCTCTAGAAAAGACCCCAGGAGCTACACTTGTCCTAGTTTGTTCAATAGGTTAGAGGACCCAGCAGGAGGAAGAGGAAGTCAGTCTTCTTTTGTGTTCTATTGCATTGTGTATGCATTTTATTCATTTAAACCCCCGCCCCCTTCCCCGGTGTGTGTGTGTGTGTGTGTGTGTGTGTGTGTGTGTGTGGGGGTGTGTGGTGTGTGTGTGGGTGAGTGTGTGGGTGTGGGTGTGTGTGTGTGTGTGCCTGTATGTGCGTGTCGGTGTGGTGTGTGCTTGACAATGCCAAGTATTTTGGGGGAAATATCTTTCTAGATACTCTAAAGTGCCTGACATATTTTATAAGTAGTAGTAAACCAATACATTATGGAAATAAGTTTTTGTTAGGATTCATTTGAAATATTGTTTGGGGAGGAATAGCCAAAGCCCTCCTGAGTTGACCACATTGTATTTGTTCCTCGGTTTCCAGGAGAAGGAAATGTAGAGCTCTAAGTCATTGTGCTCCATGGTTGGAAAAAACCCCCTGTCCCCTTTCGTTTGGCTTTGCTGTGTATATGTATATAGTATAGATAAAGGACAAAGGAGTCCTATTCTCAGCATCTAGTCACTCTAGATGTTAAAGAGGTTCCCACTGTATGACAAAGTAGAGGTAGTAGAACAATATTTTGTACATTTGTGTTAAAATTTTTCTTTTTGTGTTAAAAAATTGTAATTATTACTCTTGTTCCATGTGTGCTGTTTACTGGACTGCTGCGTACATAATGGACAACAGTCCTTACTTGAAACATCTGGTCTATCCAGATGTTTAGAAGTGCCCAACGTATGTTAAATGTAGAGGTAGTTAAATATCCCTTTGTAAATATCTTTTTGCTAAAATTCATGAAACGCTGTCTTTGGGAGTAGAATTATGAGCCTCTCTGTGAGCAGTACTGTCTGTACTTGCTCAGTGCTCTGGAGGAAGCGATGGGAGACATCGGGGTAGTGTTTTTTATATGGCACCTTTTCAGATGCCACTTCTATATATTTGCATTTTGTTTTGCTCTGTGTATACTATATACAATGGACATATGTCAGCTTCTACTCTCTAAATGTTAAAGAGGTTGCCAGTGTATGACAAAATTAGCACATTGTGTACACTGTTAAAATTTATAGGAAAGATTGC